TTTTGTTGTTCGGCAGCCGCGGCGCGCAAGTAGGAGAAGAAACAACGCCATAAACATAAACATATCAATAAACGCCAAAAGCTGGGGGCCCCCGGCGGCGCCTCCTGCGCCGCCCCTGGCGCGCTCCGCGCGCCAGGGGGCAGGGTCCAGCGCAGATCCAAGAAATCCGCGCGGAGCGCCAACAGTTTATGTTTATGGCGTTTTTTCTTATTTTCCTTGCGCTCCGCGGCCGTCGAAGAAGAGAGCCTCCCGCGCTCACAAGAGGGAGGATGTGCGAAGCGAGGAGCACTAATCATGGGAGCCTTGTGTGTCCTCGTAGGTCCACCTGTAGAGTGCATTCGCGTGCGCTAGCGTTTGGTAGTCGACGAGAAAGCGACGCTCTAGCGTCGATGTAGCGTCGACTAGCGTCGTCTAGCGTCGAAGAGCTTCGGCTAGCGTCGATTCGCAAGAGTCAAGAAGATCGCATGGGAGGCCCCCATGAGTTGCCGCCGAAGGGTGGAAGTGAGAGGGGCAGGCCTTCTCAGAATGCGGCGGGGATTCTCAGAAGCCCTCGGGCTCTCTGGGAGGAGGCTCAGAGAGCTGTCCAGAAGGCTGGAGGCCCTCCGAGCCTTCAGGGAAGCGGCCCGCCCCCTCTGACTTCCCCCCCGGGCTTGCCGCCGATGCTTTCTCGCGGGTCCGCACGGACTTCTCGGATCGGCAGCCGGGGGGCCCCCGGCGGCGCCTCCGCCCCCTCTGACTTGCCCCTCCGACTTCGGAGAAGGCCAGCCCCCTCTGACTTCCCCCCTGGGCTCACCGCCGATGCTTTCTCGCGGGTCCGCGCGGACTTCTCGGATCGGCAGCCGGGGGGCCCCCGGCGGCGCCTGCGGCGCCACCCCGATGGCGCGCTGCGCGGGTCCGGGGGGGGGGGGGTTGTTTTTCCACCGCCACCACCACCATAAGTAGGAGGGGGAGGAGGTCCTCCTCCTCCTCCTCCTCCTCCTTCCTCCTCCTCCTCCTCCTCCTCCTCCTCCTCCTCCTCCTCCTCCTCCTCCTCCCCCCCTCCAGCTTGTGGTGGTGGTGGTGAAAGACAGGCCCATCCGGGGGGGCCCGGTGCCGACCCGAGAGCTCCGCGCGAGCCTCCGATCGAAGCGGCGCTCGCGCCCTCAGTTTGGGTCCCTCGGGCTCCGGCGCCCGCGGCCCGACGCCGCGTCCTGCGGCGGCGTGCCGCCGCCCTCGCGGTCGCGTCGCCGCGCGCCGCGCTGGCGGGGGTCACGTACGAGAGGGCCACGGTGGATTCGGCAACCGGCACTCCTCCTCCTCCTCCTCCTCCTCCTCCTCCTCCTCCTCCTCCTCATCCTCCTCGTCCTCCTCCAACCTCCTCCAACCTCCTCCTCCTCCTCCTCCTCCTCCTCCTCCTCCTCCTCCTCCTCCTCAACCGGCACTTGAGCATGGGAGCCTTTGTGTGCCCTCGCACTCCCGTCTTTAGGGTCAGGTCGGGCCTGTCCCTCTGATTACAGGGGGGATCTCCCAAAATGGTTGAAAGAACATCTCGGGGCGCCTCTTTTTGTCATTTGTTTACTCTTCGGGGGCATTTTGGAGGGTATGTTTAATTTTTGGGGGTGTTTTGGGGGGTATTTTTATTATTTGGGGGTAATGATTTGTGGGGTATTTCTAATTGTTCGCCCAAAATCCGCCTGGGGGCACGCCCGACCTAACTTTAGCGTCGACTGGCGTCCAGCAGCGTCTGGGGAGCGACGAGAGAGCGCCGATTTGGCGTCGGCCAGCGTCGATCCGGCGTCGATCTGGCGTCGATCAGCGCCGATCTCCCGTGAGTTGCCGCAGAAGGTGGAGGCCGGCGGGCTGCGGCGGGTCTTCGACGTGCAGTACCCCGACGGGGAGGCGCCCGCGGCGGGCTGGCCGCTGGTGCTCTCCTTCCACGGGCTCGCCGCCACCGCGGGGGAGATGGCCGAGCACGACAGGCCTCCGCGGGCGGCCCTGCGTTGCACCGCGCCCGCGCGCTGGGCAGCGCGCTCCTCGGGGCCCCCGTGCGGCATCTGTCCGCTGGCGCAGCCCGTCTGCCTCGCCGCCGACGAGCCCTGAAATCCGGCGCTCCAAGAAACTTGGAGCAGGCGGACTTTGACCGTTTGCGGCCTCCGGGGGGCCCTCGCCGGGCCTCGGGAGCGTCAAGAAACGATGCAGGACGCAGAGCCGGTCCTGGAGAAGTGGTCCGGCCTTCCGGGGCCCACGCGCCGAAGACTTTGGGGCAGCCGGACGTCTGGGAGCAAAAGGGTGCACCGTGCCGCGCGTGCGGCGCCCCGTTCTGCGGCCCGCGGAGCCAGAGCAGAGCGGCGCACCGTGTGCCCCGAGACCTCGGCGCTGCCATCTCTTCACGGCGGGCGCTGCCGCTCCACGTTCGGGCCCAGGGACCCTCGCAGGCCGATCCGGCTCGAGAGGTGGGGTCTGGGGCGCCGGACGTGATTTGTCTCGGTGCGCGATGCTGCCAATCTTTTCGCAGCGTCGGATCTCGGAGTTGGAGCGTGCGGCGTCGAATGCGCAAGAGGCCGCATCTCTTGCACGCTCGACGCCGCACACTCCAACTAAACGAGTGTCTATACTAGACGAGGTCTGAGTCATCTCCAGCAGAACGATTCCTCGCATTGTGTTTTTCAAGGAGCTCACAATCTTTTGTGCAGCGTCGGATCTCAGGGTGTGCGGCGTTGGAGCGGGGCCCGAGGGGCGTCCAGACGCGGTGCGGTGCACGGGGCGGGCGCCGTTCTCGCAAGGCTGCGCAGCTACGGGAGGAGGTCCGCGGTGGTCGTGCACCCCGAGGGCTGGCCCATGGGGCAGTACGGCCTGTGGCAGTCGTGGCACTCTGCGGGCAGTGCGGGGGCCAACGCGGACGGCGGCGAGGACGGGAGGACCTGCGAGCCAGACAGGGTCGACCGCAGGTCGAGTGGGGGATCGACTACATCATTGATGAATTGCCAAGTGGATTTCCCCGTCGAGCTTGTGAAGAAATATATCATGTTCGTGGATCTACGAACACCATGCCTATGTTGTTGTAGACTCGACGAGGAAGTCTATACGGGGGTAAAAATCAACTCTGTAGTCGATCCCCTCCTGGAGCAGGTGGAGCCAGACGGTGTGCTACCCCTCGTGCGAGCAGAAGGGCCACTGCAACAGCTCGACGGACTGGCCCGACCGATGCAGGTGGAGCCCCGTTTATTTGTTTTGTTTGGAAAGCACACGTAGGCATAGATGAATATATATAGATAAACTCAAACAGGTCGTAAGTAAATACACAAAGCATGGAATCAATAACTCAAGACACACGCTCATGGACAAAAGATGCAGGTGGAGCCACTGCGGCGACGACGTCGCGTTCGTCCTGCAGGTCTTGGAGGCCCTGGGAAATCGGACGAGGGTGGACGCCACTCGGATCTTCGCGACCGGCTACTCGAACGGAGGGATGCTGGCGTACGAGCTCGCCTCGGACCCGCGGTCTGCCGGCGCCTTCTCTGCCATCGCGCCCGTGTCCGCCCTGCCCCACAACGGCTTCAACAGGGGGACGCCCAACCGAAAGTCGGCGGCGAGCCGTGAGGGGGAAGCGAGAAAGGGGAGGGCCTTCTCGGAGGACTCGGAAGTCCCCCGGCCTTCCGAGAAGTGTTCTCGGCCTTCCCCGAAGGCGCGGAGAGAGCTCCTCGGAAGGCGCGAGGCCTTCTGAGAAGTCCCGCCGCCTTCCGAGACGGCATTCTCCTCCTCGCTGCCCCCCCTCGCTCGCCGCCGAGAAAGATGCGCTGCCTCAACATCGAGGGCACGAGGGACGGCCAGGTCTATCCGTTCGCGAACGTGCCGTCGCACCCCACGAGGTCCTACGGTGCGAACGGCGGGTTCTACTTCAGCAGCCTGGACAACACCAGCCGCCTGTGGGCCTTGCAGAAGGGCCTGCTGCCGTGGCAGCCCATCAGGCCGCTGGCCGCCCGGCACGGCCTCCGGCTGGAGCTCGATTAGCAAACCATGACATATGTTTCATGACGTTCCGATGCATTTTAGAAGGACTTCCGAGCACCAAGAAAGAATTCGAAGGAAGCACATATTTTAGACGGAATTGCATGACTTCTTGAAGGGAAGGCTTTTGTTCACGCGGCGGGCCCTGGGAGGCGATGCTCGTTCGGCGCTTTGCTGGCGCGTCGGGCAGGCACTGCTTCGATACTTTTATCGGGTGCTCGAACACATTTCTGGGATGTGATCTCACGCGCACGCACACGCACACGCACACGCACACGCACACGCACACGCACACGCGCGCACACACGCACACACGCACACACATACGCACACACGCACACACGCACACACGCGCGCACGCACACACGCACACACGCACACACGCACGCACACACGCACACACGCACACACGCACACACGCACACGCACACACACACACGCACACACACACACGCACACACACGCACACACACACACACGCACGCACGCACACACGCACATACGCACACACACGATGGGAACAACATAAGCAAATGTTCGGAGACCCGCGCTGATTTCTTGGATCGGCGCTGGACCCCCTTCCCTGGCGCGAGGAGCGCGCCAAAGGGCGACGCCGGAGGCGCTCCAGCGCCGACCCGAGAGATTCGAGCGGACCTTCGAAAGTTTGGGGTTCTGCATGTCCAGACTGAGGGGGCCGAACGGTCTCACACCATCCCTGGGTGCGTAGACTTGAAGTGGGATTTCATGGCCCACATTCTGCTTGTCGTTGTAATTGTCGTCGTCCCCCCGCGACCCTCTGGCGACCCACCCGCGACCCAGCCCGCGACCCGCCCCTCGACCCACCCGCGACCCACCGCGCGACGGACCCCCCAACTCCTCCCAGTCGAGGCTGATGAGTAGGTCGACCCTGCCAAATCAAGGGCACCCTTGTGCCATGCGTCTCGCGACCCATGCCTTCTGCATTCCCGTGGCAGCGTGGCCCCCTCGGAAGGGTCTCGTGCCCTCTCGCGACGCACCGTCCTCGCAACGCTGCGGAAGGGCGTGCGCGAGGGCCTCCGCGGCGGCGCCGCGGGCGAGGCGCGAGCCGCCCCGCGGGCGGCGGCCACCGCGCTGGCGGCCACCTGGGAGGGGGGGGGTCCTCCTCCTCCTCCTCCTCCTCCCTCCTCCTCCTCCTCCCCCTCCCCCTCCTCCCTCCTCCTCCCTCTCCTCCTCTCTCCTCCTCCTCCTCCTCCTCCTCCTCCTCCTCCTCCTCCTCCTCCTCCTCCTGGGAGGGGGGGGGGCCTCGGACCCAGACGGCGCACCGGCCTGGGCGCCGGCGTGAAGCCGCCCCGCGGGATGCCACCTCTGGGGGAAGAGGGCAGTCCGCGCGTCCTCTCCGATCAGCCCCGACTGGATGCCCGCACGCGCTGCAGTCGTCGGCTGCGCGTCCCGAGCAACCGTCAAACACCCTTGCGCCCAACGCCGACCCAGAAGGCATCGAATGAAGAATAAGGCATACAGGAGTGGTGATCGTGACGCCACCGCGCGCTTCCTCGTCTTGGGGCGGCAGGTGCCCCGACTGTTCGTTCCCTGTTCCCCGAGGAGTGCCACGGCTGGAGCCGGGACGGCAGCGCGGAGCGGGCCGAGGTTCGGAGGCTGCGCAACGGGGGGGACGCTGCGCAAGTGAGGGGCGGCGAGGGCCGCAGAACAGGGGCCCTGTCGGGCCCCTGCAGGGGGCCCAGAAGGGAGCCTTTCAGGTCCGAACAGGGCACCCTTCTCTCCCCCCCCCCCGAGTTTCGGGGACGGACAAGAGGGGGGTGATGACTAGGGGGGGTGGATATCATGGCGCGGGCCATGATGTCTCCGCAGATTTCATGGCGCCTTCTCTTATTTCATTACGTCCCAGGCCCCCCCGCTGGGCCGCGCACATGCCGCCGGTCATGATTTGCACCCCCCCCTCTTGGACACCCCCCGCTTGGCCGCTCCCGAGAGTGGATCGCCCCCCCGCATGAAGTCGAGCCCGGAGGGGTGCGGGCCGGGCCCACTGGGGTCCGCCGATCACCGAAAACGGTAGGGTGCTTGCGTGTTTGGCCCCCCCGGGGCCCCCCCAAAGCCGCGCACCAAAGGCAGTGCTCGTACCCAGGGCCGCTCTTCGGAGATTGGAGGACATACATTGCCATTGGCGGGCTGCTTTTCAATCCCGGGACTTTTCGAGGGTCGGGGACGACGTCGGGGTTCTGTGGCGTATACTTGTTTTTTCCGTTTTCCCCGGGGAAGCAGCGAAACATGTATACACCAGGATCCCGTATGCACCATGATCCGCTTTCTTGTTTGCAAATTTCAGTGCGAGGCCGGAAAAAGAGTGCGAAGACAGGGAGAGGGGGAAAAAACACGACATGTTATCACGGATGCTCCTACACACGCGCAGTACCCCCCCCAAAAAAAGGGCAATTTTTTGTTGTGGCGTGCTGGGGCCCTCACCTAACAGGGATGGCGGTCGACTACGCGCCGGCACCGACTCCGGCGCCTACGCCAGCACCGTCGCCAACGCCGCAGCAGACGCCGACGCAGGCGTTGACCCGGACACCCACGTCGGCATCTACGTCAGCACCGCCGCCAGCACCGACGCCGACACCGAAGTCGACACCGTCCTCAGCACTGACGCTGGCGCCTGCACCCACACCGACGCCAGCACCAACGCCGTCACTAACGGCGGAGCCGACCCCGGCACCGACGCCAGCGCCGACGCCAGCACCGTCTCCAGCTCCGACTCCGACACCGACGTCGGCGCGTACCACGCCGGCGCTTACGACAGCACAGCCGCCAGCACCGAAGCCGACGTCGACGTCGGCGCCTACGCTGGCACCGACGCCAACGCCTACGCCAGCGCCGTCTCCAGCTCCGACGCCGACACTCGTGATTTGATCCTGGTCGCCCATGTTGAAAGAAAGTGCCCGGGAGTCCGGTGCAAAATTTCCGCCCCGAGCCTGCTGCACAGTTTCGACTCCGGGCACGCAGAGGCGGACAAATCGTGCCCCCCCTGGAGACCCAAGGGCGAAGACAGGGAGAGGGGAAAAAACACGACATGTTATCACGGATGCTTCTGCACACGCGCAGTGCCCCCCCAAAAAAAGGCCACACTTTGTTGTGGCGTGCTGGGGCTCTCACCTAACGGGGATGGTGGCCGAATACACGCCGGCACCGACTCCGGCGCCTACGCCAGCACCGTCGCCAACGCCGCAGCAGACACCGACGCAGGCGTCGACCCTGGCACCGACGCCGGCATCTACGTCAGCACCGTCAGCACCGACGCCGACACCGAAGCCGACACCGATGTCGGCGCTTACGACGGCACCGACGCCAGCGCCTACGCCAGCGCCGTCTCCGGCGCCCTCGCCAGCACGGTTGCCAGCACCGACGCTGACACCGAAGTCGGCACCGCCTCCAGCTCCGACGCCGGCGCCTACACCGGCACCGTCGTCAGCATCGAGGCCAACGCAAACGGCGGTGCCGACACCGGCACCGACGCCCGCACCTACGCCAACACCGTCGCCAACACCGGCGCCTACGCCAGCACCGACGCTAGCGCCTACGCCGGCACAGGCACCAGCACCGACGCCGGTATCGCCGTCGGCGCCTCCACTGGCACCGGCACCAGCACCGTCGCCAACTCCGACGCCGACATCGACGTCGGCGCCTACGCCGGCACCGACGCCGCCGCTTCCGCCAGCATCGTCGCCAGCACCGTCGCCGACACCGTCGCTGGCGCCGACCCTGGCATCGAAGACGGCCCGCACTTACGTCAACACCACCGCCAACAACGAAGCCAACACCGAAGTTGGCCCCGTCCACAGCACGGACGCCAGCGCCTACGCCAACTCTGTCGCCAGCATCGACGCCGTCACCAACGGCGACGCCGACCCCAACACCGACGCCCGCACCTGCGCCAGCACCGTCGCCAGCACCGACGCCGACACCGACGTCGGCGCCCCCGCCAGCACCGACGCCGGCGCCTACCCGAGGGCAGTCGCTGGCACCGACGCCGACACCGTCGTCGGCGCCTACGTCGACACCGACGCCAGCACCTACGCAAATACCGTCGCCTGCTTCGACGCCGACTCCGACGTCGGCGCCTACGCCCGCTTAGCGCCCTCAGGACAACTCGCTTGGCCTTGGGACGCAGAGGGACCTTGGGAGTATGACGTGGGTCGCTGGTTATGTGACCCAAGGTCATCTGATTTGGAATGAACGGGTGATCAGCTACGATGTGGCCATCTCGCAGGATGGCCTCTCCTGGTCTACTGTAGACGGCAGTTTGAAGGGTCATTCCGATCGGGACACCGCAGTGCAGGGCTTTCTTCTCGGTCCAAACAGAAGGCGCGCTACGTCCAGATCTGGCCGCTGTCATATCTTGGTTGGCCATCTATGGGAGGTTCGGTTTTGCTCATCTCCTGCCCGGTTCCCACGGCAGCGCCCATTCCGCATACTTGCTCAGACACCGACGATGGAGCCGGAGATAAAGTGTAGGCCGATTGTGCCGAGTGCGCGTCTTTTCCATCGTGGTTCCCACAGAGACGTGAGTGAAATGGTTCCCCGACGCGCTCGCTGACTCCCGCACCGACCAGCCCGCCGACTCCGTCGCCGACCAGCTTATTGAATCCCGCGACGACCACCTCGCCGACCCCCGCGCCGACCACCTCGCCGACCCCCGCGCCGATCTGCCCACCGACTCTCGCATCGACCAGCTCACCGACTATCGCGCAAGCCAGCTCATCGACTCCCTCACCGACAAGCTCGCCGACTCCCGCACCAACCAGCTCGCCGACTCCAGCACCGTGACCAGCAGCTTCGACGTCGGCACCGACGGGTCGGTCACACTTGAACCGACCTCCCCGGCTAAAGTCAAGGAAAAACACGGACGCCGGCACCGACTCCAGCACCAACGCCTGCGGCAGACCATAAGGCTCGGCATTGTATACGGCACTGCGTCTTCATCTCGTCCTGAACACCCTCATGCACGACTAGGGGGGCCCGGCGTCGAGTTTCATGGGCGGCCAGCGCTCTTCGCCTCCCCCCTTTTCTCCCCTCTTCGTAGTTCTTTTTTTGTTGCTAGGCCGCTCAACCCACAGGCAGGCGCACCCTGTCCTTCCCGCCCCTGCTTGGCAGGGTTCGGGGAGTCATTGCTGCGCACGCCCTACAGCTATCATATGTTCAGATCCTGCCATCTAGCTTGCTCGTGTGGGACCTTGTGCGTCGTCAGCTCAAGGCTGGATTGCGCACGCACGAGTTCGTCGCTATTCACTCCTCCCCCTGCTCGGCTCCCTCCTTTTCCTCTCCTTCTCCGCCCTCTGCCTCCTCCTCCCCTTCTCTGTTTTTTGCAGGTGGGTCCGAGGCTTTGCTTAGGATCCTTCGTCCGTCCCCTAGCGGGGTCGCCCCCCTGCTCCTCCCCTCTCCTTGCCCGCGTGTGCGCGATACCGAATGTTGTCGCTCGCGCGGCTTCTTCCTTCTCTGCTTTAAGATTAAAATGATTTAGCGCCCGCGATGAAGGGTCACCGGCGCCACCGATGCTCAATGGAGTGCTCGCTTGCGTGGTTGTTCATGGAGTTTGGGCTCTCTCGCGGTGGAGAAAACAGAGTTCGGTTCCTTGTCTTGCGTGTAGCCGACGAGGTGGCTTTGGGATCCGACGTTGCAAAGCAAACATGCAACATTGCGACAAATCGCGCCTGGAGCCCCGGACCCCATCTTTCTGCGTCAGTTTTCGAGTTGGACCGATGTGCGGGGGTCTTGGGGCCCGAGCCTGGGCGAAAACGCCCGTTGCAAAGCAAGTGCAACGCCAGGATCTCAGGGTCTTGCGCGCAGCCGACGAGGTGGCCCACTGCCTCTACGAGGGGCCGCACGCGGCGCCGCCGCCGAGCGCCAGCAGGCTCATCTGGAAGTTCTTCGGGCTGGGCGACGGCCCGCCCCGCCGCGAGCTGTGAGCGCGCCGGCCGGGGACGCGGCGCCGTGGCGGCGTCCTGTGCCCAGAGCCCTCCCA